AAAAATAATCAACCATTTATTTGCATTTTTAAGTATTTTGTTATACCTATAACAGTATAACATAACTTTATTTTTTTTTTCTCATTTTTCAGAAATACTTGGACAGATTGCATGCTCTGAACCGAGTATATGCGTTAATCGCTTTACAATTTGAAATTGTCGTGCAACAAAAGTTTTGGTGAAAACATGAAATTTAATTACCATTAACATGTATGTTTATGCTTATTTTAATTTAGTCCAAGTAGACATTTTTTAAATTTAGAATTTATCAGATTTTATTTTCCGTTAACTTTATACAGATTTATTCCTGTCTTTGTATGTTATTAATTTCTATTGCAACAGAAATAATGATGAAGCTAAATATCTATTCAACTGAAACTACTTTTCGTTGTCTTTTTCAACGCGGACCTTCCTTCAATTTTTTTCAAAATAAATGTTTTAAAATGTTTCAAATAAGAAACGTATTTGCTATAAATACAAGAATAATAAAATGTCTACAGCTGAGTGAAAGTAACTGTTACTGTTGGTCGTATATCGTATATTTCTTTACTTATGTTTATACGTGAAAAAAAGAAGAAAACTGATAATACAATCTGAATGAAAGTTAATAACAGCCAATTTTTCCGGAATGCAATTGCATTCGTTGTCAGTGCTACAGTTCATAAGCTTAATATTTATCAAAGTTATAATTCAATTGAAAAAATGTTGAAACTTTTATATTAACTTATTACCATAAATATCAAAGTAATGCCTTATTGATCAACAGTTTCATGAATGTAATTTTCATTATTAGGAATTTATTATTGTTTATAATTTGATAGTATTCTATTGTTTATATTATATCTGGAATTTTTGTACCGCTGGTCTCTTTATATCAAATACTGCCATTAGGAAATACAACTACACAATATAATAGATGCAAATAGAGTAGCTTGACTAAAAGTATGTTTAAATGTTTAAAAATCCGATTCAAATTTTTTAGTAAGAAGCACTTAATAATTCGATCGTCCTTGTATTTTAGCCGAACCATTTATTGTCGTAAGACTGAGAAATGTGCTTTTTCGGGACATCGTATGTGCCATAATATTTATAGACAAACATTTAAAAAAGAAGGTAATTCAGAACGTTTTATGCAATTATAGATTTTTTCACCTTTTCATCAAACGATTATCAAACAAATGCAATGAAATACAGCATATCGGGACTATTACTTTTTAATAGAAGTATGTAATACTTGATACTAGGTTGATCAAAATCAAGATAAAAGCTGTGCCGTCTCAAAGTAGTTAAAGTACATACGAAAAAGGTGAATAATGGAAATCTAAAAAAGGAATTATACAGATATTAAATAATCTATTCTATTGTCTATGTATCAGGATAATGATTGTTAATATAATTATAATACAGGATAATGGTTGATTTGATTGTTAGAATGCTATTTATGGCATAATTGTTATTGTGTGATAAAAAAGAACCATTTATATTATACATTCGCTTGACCAATTTTTCAGTAGAACAACATTAGATAGCTTAACGATGTTTCATGTATATACATAAATAATTATTTATTATACAAAACTGCATCAAGATATGAAATTGTCATTAAACAATAATTTGACGTAATAATAAACTATCGTTTAAAAAATAAAGTATCATATAGATAAATTCAGTTATGTATCATTGGTTTATATAATTTCGTTATACATATATCATAAATAATGAAACATAACTATTGTAATTTAATTGCAAGTTAAAACAAAAATGTTATTTCGTTTACTGTACTGTTATACGTTTAATTTATAAATTGTATGTACAACTTATAAAGACTATGTATAAAGTAAAGAATTATATACCAATCAAACTTTTATTATATCTCTTACCTTACTAAATTGTCCAAGTATATATTTCAGAATATTAGGTGGTGAATCATGCAACAAAGGCTCCAAAGCTTCAATATACATACACCGTTGTAATACTTGTTTTAATGTTATATTACATTTTGCTTTGAGGTCTTCTGAACTGTTTGGACTATTGTAAAGCTGAAAATAGTAGTGACGAACAACTAAAATATAAAACAGTAATGATAAAGAATTAAAAGCAATACAACATGAAGAAATGTTTTTAATATACCTGTAATAATTTTGGAAGAATGTTTGCAACTGCAACTGCTTTTGCATGTTCTGATGTATGTTTTCCAATTTGACCAATTGCCCATGCAGTAACAGAAAGTATGTGTTCATCATCCTCATTGTTTAATATAATAGATAAGTGAACAATTCCCTATACAAATATGTATGTATGTATGTATGTATATATATATATATATATATTTTAACTGCAACAGCTAACTGATCTGAATGTCCAGCAATATATCCAATTGCCATTATTGCTGGTAATCTGACTGTCAGTTTTGAAGAATTAATTAATTCAACAAGCACACCAATGCCACCAATATTTACAATAAGCTGTGCCATCTAAGGAAAAATATAATTATTAAAAGATAATATGTTACAAATAGGTAGAAATTTGATTGTTTTACTTCTAGTGTATGTTTACAAATTTCCCTGGTTAGCATTGTAGCAGCTTTGACAACACATTCATCAGGATGTGCCATATGTACAAGAACATCAGGAAAAATGTCAGCTTCGATAACACATTCTGCCAGATGTACAGAATGTTTTGCTATACTGCTTAATGCCAAAAGAACTTGGCGCTGTATATTTGATTAACAATTGAAATATTATGTTATGAAATCATACTACATGGTACTTTATGTCACCTTTAATTTGGTATCAGGATTAGATAATGCTTTTGCAAGGAAAGGAATAGCTCCTGCATCGACAACAGTTTCCGCAAGATCATTATTGTGCTTGCTTATATCAAAAAGAGCAGATGCACTAATTTGCTTTAAACATAATTCAGGTTCTTGCAAGCACAAAACCAAAAGGGGCACAGCTCCTATGAGTGATATAATAATCAACATGCAAGAAATTTCCAAAATGAAGTTAATTAATGCAACAATGCATGTACCTGCATCAACTGTGGCTTGGGCTAAGCTTTGATTATGTCTAGCAATATATCCTAGTGCCCAGACAGCAGCTTCCTTGACACCAGAATCAAAATCTTCTAAACAAACTATGATGATATCCAATCCATTACTTTGTATTACTATAGATGTCAATTCTGAGGAATGTTTAGCGATTGCACGTAGAACAAATAGGGCTGCCTTTTTATAAAATTTCTATAACAAACATGCTTCAATATTTCTATAATTAACCATCTTATTTTCTTCTCTATTAACTTATAAATAGTAATAAAATCTACTAAAAAAAGAAACACATTTTCCTACAACTAAAATGCTTACATTCATACATTTTGTTTATTAATATTTTTCAATAATTGAGGTAAAATGTCCATTCTTATGACAGCTTGTGCTAATCTGTGATTATTATTTGCAATTTTTCCTATAGCTAAAGCAGCCATATGCTGAATAGATGGAACAGGATCTGTTAGTAAAGGACAAAGAAGATCCAAACCTCCAGCAGCTTCTAAGCATCCTATAGTGTTTGATTTTGAAGCAAAATCAGCAACAGATTGAACAAAGAATAAACGGGCCTTTTGGTACTGGTCAAAGACTATTAAAGTACAATTAATGTTAATGTTAACATTACCTAACATATTATCGTAAAACATTATTAAGGTGAAAAAAAAAAAAAATATGTTAAGAGAGAACATTTTATTGTATATTTTTCATTTTGCATCCATTGTTATTACAAAAGACCGCCAAATTTCAGTTGTAAATATTGAAGTGTCATTACAAAACGTACCTTGTAAAATTGAACGCGCTGTCATTTTTGCTCGAGGTAGACTTTTTATTTATAGCAAACAAACAATATCAATATTTTAAATACGTTTTTATACCGTTTAACTTTAGAAAACTATCATATGTTTGAAAACGAAAAACTACCGCCCCTTGCACACTACGTAGTACAGCGACTCCATAAACAAATATACACAGGTGTTTGATCGAATAGAATATAGAGATATAAATTGTTGAACAGAATATAGTAAAAGAAACAATATTTTTTATTCAATAATTATTAATATCGAAAAATGACAGAAGATTTAATAATTAAGGAAAAGGGATTTCGTAAGTTAAATAAAGAACTTGAGCAGAAAGCGCACGATTTAATGAAAAAAATAGATTGTGTTATTAACACTTATAATAATGGATGCTTGACTTGCAATACGAAAGAATATCATACAAATTGTATGAAAGAAAAAGCAGAATATTCAAGAAGTATAACGATGCACAATGGAGATAACTCTCAGGTTTCGGTTAAACGAAATTCATCTTTACCACATGTTTTCAATCAAACGACGTTAACTTTAAAATCGTAAGTACGAATTCTTTACTTCTAATAATTATATTTTAATATATCTGTTAAAAAATACTCTAAAAAAATGCTATACTAAATTTATTTTAATTTCGGGGAAATAGTTTATTGAAATATTCAATTTTTCTTCCACGATATACTTTAAGTTAACTTCGTATTTTCTCTACCTCTTTTTTTTCTCTCCCTCTTTGAGAACGTGTACATAGATGTAAAGTATTAATAACAGTTGAAATAAATGTTATTAACATTATTTATATTTGATAGAGATGTAGAGTCACAAAAGAGTGATGAAGATGATATTTTTAAACAAAGAAATTTGGCGAATAAAACTGTTGTTAATTTGTTTAAAGTTAAAGTAGATATATTACAGAATGAGCTACATGCAATGCAAATGGAATATAAAAAGAAGGTATTTGAAACTGATATAAATAATTGATACAATAATTGTTTAATTACATGTTACATAATTGTACTTATTTTAGTGTGATATTTGCAAGAATTTGGAGTCTGAAACTAAAAGAACCGAGATTAAGTTACAGACTGAAATAGAATCATTAAAAGAGACAATCATAAAATTAGAAAATTCCAATAAAGAATTACAGTGTCAATCACATGCATTAAATATAGAAAACTCAAGCTTGAGAAAAGTATAAATTATTAATGAATATATTTGAATATATTTCTTCATACATTCATAAAATATATTTTTAACAGGACTTGGATAAACTTCAGAAACAAATAAAAATAACAAATCAGCAATACAACAATTGTATTATGAGATTAAATAGGTCTTTAGAAAGTAATGATAAACTTAAGAGTGTAATTAAATATTCTGAAATAGAAGAAAAGGTACAATTTAGAAAAATATTCATTATAATTTAAAAAGCTTATATCATTTTAGATTTTTATTCTACTTGATGTTTGTGCAGGAATTAAAGACTCAAATTAGAAAACTACAAGAAGATAGAAGAGTGACAGTTAACAATTTAGGAAAGCAACTTTCAGAATTAGTCCAAGTATTTAGAAAACAAATGTTGATCATAGATAACTTAAAAAAGCAAAATGTATGTATCTATTTTATCTTTTTCATATACAATTATACTGGTATATAAAAATTAAAACTTTATGTACATATTTTAACACACATGCACACACGCGCTCGCGCGCGCGCGCACACACACACACACGTAAGGCATGCTTAGTGGCAGTTGGACAACTGAAATTGACAAAAGAAGATTTTTCAAGATTATTGGATCAGAAACCTGAAAATTTATGATAAATTGTATATAAAACATTTATTAAATGACTATGGTAATTTATACATTGCAAAAGATGGAATAACTTCATTTCATAGCCATACATTTTATACAATTTTATATTACATTATGTGATTTTTAATAATATTTTTACGAATAAACTATGTTCTTTTACAATACATTACCTGTCAGAAACTGTGAAATTGAAAAGTTTTATATTCCTTGACTTAAGCCTTACAGTACATTTCAAACTTTTTTCTTTTTATCTATGAAGCATTTTCAATAATTGCTATTTGCAGTAAACGAAATTTCTAATTATAATATAATTATAGCAATTTTGCGAAAAGTGAACAGAATTTACAATGGGAAATATCAAAGTGAATTATGAAAAATATAAACATTGGTTACTATGGAAATCATGCAGTTCAATGGAAAATATTTTCATATATATTTAATATCTTTTAAAAGTAATATGGTATAAAATTACAAAGAGATATACAACTGATTTCCATTGAAACTATACTGAATTAACTTTTATTTGAAAGATAATTTTAAAATAATACACTAAATTTTACACCTAAGCCATATTTTGTGCACAAAGAATATTAAAAATGACGAACCTCGATTTGTATATACAAAAATTCACAAAATTATGTTGCACAATAAACCCTTGTAAAATGATTGTTCCAATTTCATCTGATCGATTATCGGATTCTACTGTTTCGATTCGTGTATGTTACTACGACGTATATCAAAAGGAAATGTCATATTAATGAAATTTACCTTAAAACTTAATATTTAAACGTTTAAAAAAACACCTGTTACTTTTGAACGGATGTATTTTATAAATTTTTATGCGATGCTTTTACTTAAATAATGTACCATACTTATACTTTCTGTGCTTTTAAAAGCAAATCGTTGTGTTCTAAACACTATTACCTGAAATTAATTAAATAATGTCAAGTATCGCAAAAAAGTGAATAAAGATTATACGTACATTCGTACTTTTAGCTGAACAATTTTTGCATAATCTAGTTTGAATAATTTTGTTTTAGTTTTTTACTGTTTAAATCTATAATATATTTCAATTAATAAAATATATTAA